TTTTTTTTACTCCCTGGCAGAAACGGGCTTCCATAATTCAGGGTAATGTGTTTGGATTGGGAATTGTTTTATAGAAGAACAAAAAATAGATGGGTGGATGTAATCTGTGGAGTACCACAAAATTATCTAATTTATATTAATTATCTAATTTATATTAATGATCTATACTAGGTTCTGGTGTAGTTAATACTGTAAATTAATCAAGTTCAGAGATGATACAGTACCAAACTAAGAGCATTAGCACATCTTGGTGAAGCTGCAAATACATGTAAGATATATTTACTGTGATGTTTGCTTGTCTGTTTGTCCTTCATCAGTGTCCCATAGTTGCAATGAGAGGAACCTGAAGGCCAATGTGAACGTGGTATCTGTGAGTGTGGGCCGGCTGGTGGACATCACTAAAGGTAAGTCAACTCTGCATGTTTATGTTCCAATGAGAACAGCATCTTCAGCAGTTAGTTGTTGATTGAGGAGAGTATCCTGTGCAGTGTGTGTTCATGGTATGCTGTGTCATTGAGGACAATGTACAGTACAGTGTATTCTGTACCAGTGAGGACAAATGTCCAGTGACGGGCATAGTGTCTCAGTGAGGATAGTGTCCAGTACAGTGTGTGCTGTCTCAGTGAGGACAATGCATGTCTGTTTTTTTAGCTGCAGATATACAGCAGTTTCAGAACCCCTTTTACTGCAAGAGCTGTCAAGGTTCCTTGTCAGCCCTGAGCGTCCCACGCCATCGACAGCAGGGCACTGTGAGTATCTGTGTGTCAGGTGTGTGTTTGTGCTGTTTGTGTAGCATGGTGTGCCCTGGTGACAGAGTCTCTCTGTGCAGGTCTGGTGCTGTGAGTTCTGTGGACAGGAGAACGTTCTCCCCAGCACGGCCAGCCACCTTTCTCACAGCCGGGATGTCTTATACGTGAGCGAGGACATGGATGGAGACTATATCAACTTGGAAGACATGCTGGTGGTGTTTTGTGTGGACATTTCAGGAAGCATGAGCGTGACAGACGAGGTCAGACCGGCCATCCAGACAGAGGCTTTTCTGTATCTCTTCTCTTACTTTCATGTCAGTGCAAGAAGATTAAAAATAAATGCATGTACAATGTTAGCTTGTTTATTCTTAATTAACCAATAAAAAGCAAGTGCTCCTACCTCTCTTTTACAATTTACCAGCAAAAGATATACTTAACCAAAACATATAAGAAAATTATGAATAAGGGGAAACCATTGAAGTCTTCATATTCATATTTGGAGTATTAAATCGATCCTAGTAATTGTTAAATTACCTTACACAATATAATGGTGGTATATTATTGCTTTTTGATGTTTTCTCTGTCTATAGCTGCATGCTAAAGTATGTCCCTCTGCTTGTGTGTTTATGATTTTTTTCTTCCACTCTCTTTCTGCAGGTATCAACTGCAAGCAAAGCAAAAACTCCTCTCTACATCTCCAGACTGCAGGTATATCCACTCAACATGATAGTGAATAGGCTCAGTCATTTGTATCAGCTTTTAGGTACAGCATTAATGTCTCAGTGCTTTATAGACACAGTCTACACTCTACACTCCTCATCTCTGTTCAATGCAGGACTTTTCAGGATACAGGCATGTAACCAGATGTACAGGGGGATCTAATAACTTTTTCATCATGATTATTGAGGTTATTCATCCTCAATTATTTTGCTGCCATACACCACTATATTTCCAGAAGCAAAATAAATTTTCAGAAATGATATGGAGTCCTGTTTTCAGTGATTCTGGCATATATTTGGGAAGCACAAAGACTTGTCTATTTCATATTAACTATGCAGTGGCTATGCTGATTGGCTCAGTCAACTTGGAGTGTGTTGAGTATGCAGTCATTATGACAGGATTGTATTGACTGTGTGCTCAGTCTTAATGGATTGAATACGTAGTTAGCATTACTGGACTTTTTGAATGTGTGTACAACCCTTCCGGATTGTGTTGACTGTGTGGCCACCATAACTGGGTTGTGTTAAATTCGTACTAAACCTGACTGGACTGTGTTGAGTGTGTGCTTAGTCTGTCTGGGAGGTGTTGACTGTGTGGTCTTTCTTACTCAGCTGTGTTAAATCTGTGTTGATTCTGACTGGACTGTGTTGACTGTGTTATAACTGGGCTGCGTTGACTACATGGTCTCTCTGAACAGGCTGTGTTGAGAATGTCTTTGTGGCTAGACCTTGTTGACTGTTTGGTCACTCTTACTGAGCTGTGTTAAGTCTGTGCCCTGCCTGACCAGGTTTTGGTTTGTCAATCTGTCTGATATTAGCTACTGTACTGTTCTCCTTAGAGTGTACAGGATGCTCTCCTGAAGTCGCTGAACTCACTGCTAAAGACGAGTCCTCGACGCCGAGTCGCTCTTGTCACCTTCAATGATGAGGTGAGTATGTCCATCAGAAACACACTGGAGCTCCCAACTCTTATAATCTCCACCATCATATTCTTGATTGATGTGTTCCTGAGCTTCAGGAATGTCTCCACTGTAAAAATGCTAGTGAGTGGTAGTGTTCAATGTTTCACAGACTGATTGGACCTGTCAATCTGTTTAAGGTTTACAGATTTTTTAATACAGAATTAATTAAAAAGTAGAATTAACTGTTACAGCCCCTTGAAAAAGCCAATATGTTGGGCTCTTGCAAAATTCACTTAATCTTCAAGAAATAGGAGTCCTGATGGACAGACTGACCTGTTGTTGCAATCCAATATTTCTCTCTTGTCCTGTTTGCAGGTGACAGTGTATGGGGATGGAACTACGGTCCCACTGACACTGAGAGACTGGGGTCTGATGGACTATGACCACCTGAAATCACAGGGCGAGAATTTTACCACCCCTCACTGCATCGCAGAGAGCATCTTGCCACTGAGCCGGAAAGTTCAGGAGTCAGTGTCTCTGCCAGTCTGTCATTGTCTATCTATTAATACATTGGCCTGCATGTGCATAGTTGACATGGTTCACATAGTATAACTTTATCAATCAATTTTATACTTATATAGCGCCTTTCTATACAGAGCATTCTCAAGGCACTTTATATGAATTATATAATAAAGAACAATACAGTATACAGAATGTACAATAAAAGCAGATTTAAAAACAGAAGCTGCATTTTTAATATCAGGAAGATTTATTTAATGTTAGGAAGTGTGTTCCAAAAGTTGGGGGCTACCACTGAAAATGTTCAGTCCCCTAATGTCCCCATAATGTGAAATCCTAATAACACTGAGGAGCCTAGAGCCAGGGGAAGAAAGTGTGAGACCTGGGGCTACTATGCAGATTTACTATGTGGGGATAGTAAATGCACATGTGTACATGGGAGACAGACCATGTAGTGCCTGAGTTGTCAACAAGAGAATTTTAAAGTCTGTCCTCTAAGAAACTGGTAGCCACCAGTTCAGCACAGGAGAAATATGGCTTAAGTATTTAGTTTTGGCCAGCACTCGAGTAGCACAGGTCTGGACATTTCTGAAGTAATTTCTCGGATGAACCAGCTAAAAGGGAATAAGAGACAAAAAGCTATGAAACCAAACTAGCCAAAAGGGACAGATATTATTTTAGCAATTTTACTGGGAGAAATTAGGTATGTTATCACTTACACACTCCACCGGGATTTTTCTAAACAACTGAATCTGCTTGTGCATGATTGATTATTCATTTATGGTATATGAGTGAATGTAATGGTGTATGAGTGAATAGTTTACTTAAAGAATCGTGTTGGATTCATATAGCATGAACTATACAGTACATGTTAATATGGCCTCTCATCCTTTCCTTTTCTTTTTCCCTCTTTCCCCAGAATGAAGGAACATGGAGCCACTGCACTGGGTCCAGCAGCACTCATCTCCATAGCGATGGCTTCTAGATACATGGGTTCAAAGGTCAGAATCAAGCACAGGAAGCACAGGCAAGGAGAGGAATGAAGAGAAGAGAGAAGAGGGGATGCAGCATAGGAGTGGAGAGAGATAGGAGAGGAGATAGGAAGGGAAAGAGAGATGACAGGACAGTTGAGATGAGGAAGGTATAGAGGGTTAAGTAGTGACAGAAAATGAAGAGAGAGGTGATGGAAGGATAAGAAAGCTGAGAGGAAAGATGAAAAGATCGAGGCATGTTGCTGTGTAAAGTGAAGCAGCTTTCTACTAAGATTGTAGCAACATAGAGTCCTCACTCTCTGTCCTCTGCCAGGTTATAATCTGCACTGATGGGAGAGCGAATATTGGCCTGGGTGACCTGGAGGAAGAGCCCACACCTTCCTCCTCCTACTTCTACAGCCGCCTTGCAGAAGAGGCGTCAGCCAAGGGGTGAGTGCGGGCCCAGGTCTGAGTGGTCGAGGTTCACTGCTCTCTCCAGAACTGCACCTGCAGATAGATTAAAGATAGATGAAACGTTACACACAGCATAGGAGAGGCAACCATGCAGACAGAGGAAGGCTCTGCTATTTTTTCTTCATAAATACTCTGTTATACCTACACAGATTAGCACATAAACCATTATTTGAAGGAAACACATTTGATCTACAGTGTGTGTCTGGACCTAAAATTCATGCCAAGCTGGCAGCTGGCAGTGCTGTTTTGTAATGGAGTAGTATAGTAAGTGTCAGCATTTTATCCCGGCAGGGTGATAGTATCAGTGCTGACATTTAAAGGCACTGACTGCAGACTGGTGGAGGTGGGAACCCTGGCAGACCGCACTGGAGGGAAGGTGAGTTCAGTGGAGTACAGCACTATTATTTCCATTCTGAGATTGTGCTGACAGCTACAGAACACTATGCAGATGGATTTGTAACCCTGCAGCTGTACAGATGGATTACACTTGCCCCGAAGAAACATAAAATCTGCAGGGAATATTGAGTTGGAGTCTGAAAGTTATGAGTTTGAGGAAAAGGGAATATGAGGGAGGATTGGTATGGTACAATGTGTAAAAACATAAGAGAGCTGTAAAGAGAGGAGGCTGTTTAGCACCCTTTGGCTGTTAGCAGCTAATTGATCGTTGGATCTCATTCAGCCATGAAGGAATCAGCACCGACTGAATGGCTGGGTAACCTTTTATGTAAAGAAGTGCCTCCTGTTCTCAGAGTTTTAATACACTTGTCTGCAGTCTCAAAAGTCAATATAAAGGGTATGCATACAAAATGCATATCAAAATGTTTTCTCAGTCCATACAAATACAAATTAGAAAGCTATGACGTTCACAATAAATTGTGAATTAGAGAAAGTAGAGTAAATGTGATCATGGGACGGTCTCTCCAGCCAGATGATTCTCTATGTGCTCTCTGCAGGTCAACATCGTCAATATCAGCAATGTGTCATCAGAGATCCAGTCACTACTAAAGGATAACATTATAGCCACCAGTGTCAAGGCTACCCTGCTGTCAGCTGATGGCATGTGAGTGTCTGAGAACCTGTCTGGCCTGGCTGATCTCATGGTTCTTGCCACTGTCATCAGTGGTATCACTACACCTTCCTGCCTGTTCTCCCCTTGTTCACAGCTGCCTCTGCCTGTTCCCTCCCTACAGTTACAGTACCTCCACCTATTCTCTCCTCACAGCTGTCTCACAGCTGCCTACAGTACCTCTAACTGTTCTCTCCTCACAGCT